TACTTGCTCTTGAGCTAATTTTGAGAACTCAGTGATCTAGCGCGACCTACACTCTTTGCTTTCTCCCCCAGCGTTCTAACTTAAGCTTTGGAGTATTCTCGCCGGGCAAATCCCCCGGGAATCCTTCATCTTCTTCCTCTCAGGTGCCATCTGTTGCCAGTTAGGAATACCCGGATCGTGCCGCATCAGAGCTAGTTTCACTTACCACACTTATTGTAGATTTAGAATTCTAATTAATAGAGGCATTATTTCCACTTGATTTGTTCTTGTCCCATCCTCAAGGGTAACTGGGTTTTCTAGCAATGATCACACTGGTATTTCAAACAATCCTTTGACTTTGGTTGATCCTAAAACATCAAGTGTTGCAACTTCAACGGTAGGAAACTGTTGTGCACTTAACAATTGGTGTTTCTCTTCTTGAGGGATTAGTGTAAACTTTGTTAACAAAGGGTAGGGGATCCAATGCCAAGTATGATGGATCGAATGGTGTTGAACCGATCCCCTAATCCCATCAAGAATTGATATACATTTTCTTGCTTTCTCAGTGTTGAAATCTTTATTAGCACCACAACTACAGACTGAAGGAAGGTAGGCTACGAGTTTATCCCAATTCCCTTTCGGTTTAGTGCAATAGAGTGAAATAGAGAAGTTGTCTTGTTTCATCAAGCCATCTCCTCTTCAAGGAACATTGCTCTTTGAATACCACTCCTCCAATTTTGTCCAAACTACATGAACACTATCAACATAAGTTATGCTTTCATGAAATTCTCGTGCAAGAGCATTGAAAATCCAAGATAACACCATTGAATTACACTTCGGCCAAGCCAACAACTCCATCAGTTTGGAAGCATCTAGTTTGTTAACCAACCCATCAACAAAGCCAACCTTGTTCTTCACATTGAGAACATTAATCATCGCATTCTCCAAGTTGAATAATTCTCTCTGTTCAATAGACATGAAACTGGTACGATTCCTTGATTATGATGAAACCGGATCATAGTAAAGTAAAGATCGATCGCCATTGTTGCTGCCACTAGAGATGTTAGACACCTGCGGCCAATCTTCTGATTCTTCTAATCTCAAAGCGCTGCTTCTACCTAATGAACTTCATGTTCCATGGAAAAAGAATAGTTAGATACATGCCAAGATCATTTGAAATTTATTGTTTTATATATATATTCACTCTATTGATAGAATCATACAGTAACAATGCAACAAAATTTAAATTCCACTGTAGATGGAAGCACATTGATTAGGAATCGACACACTGTAGATGGAAGCACCCTGATTAGGAATCAACACACTGTAGATGGAAGCATATATACTTTTTTTCATCCTTAAAAACCAGCTCTATCAATACAGTGATGGTTGGAGCTCAAGAGTAGAGGATGACTCTTAATGGCTTCCACCTCTCTCTCCAAGGACTAAACAATTAGATCAAATCTCCTCCATCTTTGCCCATAATAGAGAAGCCCTAATTTTCAAAATAAACCTTCCAAGTTTAAAAGGTTCAACTATGGTGGTTTTGGAACTTGAAGTGAAGTAACAGAACCACCACCTGAGGATGCATCAAAGACCCACTCCCTGCCATCACTTGGAAGACAATCCTCCATCTACTCTCTCACCCTCGACGAGTTTCCAACACACGACACAGCTTTGCCACAAAACATGGACGAGTTCCTCAATAACATTTGAACGACACAACTTTGCCACAAAACCGTTAACGAGGTATGGGCTGAAATCCACAAAATCCAAGAGCAACAACAGCTTGAGGGGCAACAACTGTAGGACACTGGTAATCCTGGAACTACCCAGCACCAACTCACTTTTGGTTTTGGAGAGATGACTTTGGAGGATTTCTTAATCAGAGCTAGGGTTGCCCAAGAAACATGTGAATCCTCCTCTTGGCAACACCGACTAATGATGCCCTCTACTGGTCTTATACTTGCAACTCTACGTGACATCGTAGTATGGGTACTCCGACCACCAGAGCACCAGAAACTGTGTAGTTGGGGAACTACCCACCACCAACTCACTTTTAGAGAGACGAATTGGAGGATTTCTTAATTAGAACTGGGGTTGTCCAGGAAACATGTGGATCCTCCTCTTAACAACACCGACTGATGATGCCAACTACCGGTCTACCACCTAGAACTGCGACACCGTAGTATGGGTTCTCCGACCACCAAAGCACTGGAAACTTTGTAGAAGGCGGTGTCCCAATGTACTTAGACATTCCCACAAAGTGGTTTGGGAGAGCCATTAAATTATATGACAAACTATATATATAACTATAAAAGAGTATTAATGACAAGGGAGGTTTTATACAATTGTCATCCTCGGTTTGATTCCATGTGTTACGCTTTCACATATCTATATTTTTTTGGTGGGGTTACAGAAGGATTGACCTAGCTTTGCAGTAGATTACGTCTTATGATGTTTAAAGAATTTATCTACTCCCGACGAAGTACGACGACCAATCGGCACACGGAGAAGATTAGGTAGTGGTAGAGGCTCTAGCAACAACCCTTTAGGTGAGTGAGGAAATCAGATTGCTTGAGGATTATTAGCTTCATTGCTTCAAAAACGAACAAAAGTGATATTAGGCTACCATCCCCATTGATCAACCTTGGTGGCTCTTCCTCATTGCTCCTACATTTTTAGGAAGAGAACAAGATCTTTTTACAAAACAGAGGATCTGGGTATAGAATTACAGTGTAATTTTGTCCCAGATTTTGAAATGGAAGCCTTTTCTTGGATTATCTTACCTAATTAATCCCTTGGATTTGTTAAAAAGAAGGCCATAACTATAACCTATAATCATATAAATTGAAACTTGAAACAGGATCGTAACTCTTGACCGAACTGAAAAAGTAACATAACTGGCTTTTTCTATAAAGGTATTTTAACAACAACAGGCATTGGGCAGAAGAATCCGAATACCGGAGAGTTGGACGAGTTGCGCTGTGCACAAGAATCCAGCGGTGGGTGGTTTGCTCGGGCCCCAACATATTCCCTATCTTGCGCTTATAATCTAATCATACGGTGTTACTTTTTTTGGGCGTTGGGTGGCACTTCGTAGGGTTTGCCTATTCTGTTGCGCAGGAAAGCATTGCAGGGTTGCACAAGAAAGCTTAAGGGAGATTTAGATTTCTTTTTCTAGTAGCGGAAATGCGAAATAACATCAATTATTTTTTCATTAATTAGGTTTGTTTTAAAAATTTAACGAATAGTAGAGCATAAATTTGATATTTTGCTTTTTTACAATAAAGGCATTTGCGTCGATATGCAAGAGTTAAATTGGGGGAAATTTTTCAATAGGTACCTTGTACTTTGCCAAGTGTCAATTTATTACCCAAATTTAAGATTTAATGCGACAATCTAGTACTTATCGTTAATGGACCATCAGTTATGTATATCATGTAACCTCATGTGTGGGTTTAAGAATTTTGAAAATGTCAAAATTATCCTTAAAAATAAAACATATTGTTCATCATCTTCTTTTTCAAGAAAATCATACAAAATCTGGGTCCACCCGTGAAAAGGGTGCAGAGTGACTCTGATATGGAATTTGGAGAAGGGAAAAGGGTGAGATTAGTTGCTTAGCTTAGATTGTGGGGACCTGACATGGTTTTCTGGGTTCCTCTCGTTGTTTTTGTGGCGAAAAAACAGAACATTGTGTGGCCTTCTGTGGGAGTATACACCATTTTGTTATTTCCCTCTTTTGGAGAGATTTTGTTAATAACCAAGCAACAATAGAGCTTGCAAGAATAAACTTTCATAGTTAACTAATCTTGGCCTAATATAAACTTTTTTCTAATTTCTATTTTTATATATGTATGTAATCGTCGAAGTGATGATGGAAAATTTTAATTGAACATCTTTCGATTTGGGATCAACTAATGATTTAAATTGTTCCAGTCAAAGAGTGGGGCGTCTGGTTTCTAGGTCCAAGCTTGTGCAGCACATTCATGGAGGTTGGGGTTCTGGGTCTGTTCTTGGTGATCATATGTGTTGATCAGGACTCTGCGATGTGTATTCGAGAGGGCTTAATGCTGTCTGTAGGTGCTCGGCCTCCCTCTTTGTAGTTGTTGCAGGCTTGCAGGCTTGTAGATTGCAGAACCTGCTCAGCTCTCCAAGAACCGAGAATTTGGGTGGTAGAATTCAGTAGTTTGAACTCCAGAAATTAAAATCTCCTCATTCCTTTGCAATCCCAAAAGCATTACAAAGCCATGGTTAGAATGATTAGAGAGAGAGAGAGGAAGCAGGAGCATCGATGAATCCAACCTGGTGTAAATTTCACTTATAATCATGTATGTATGAAATTAAGGATTTACCCAAGATGGAAGGATTTATGATTATTATTGGTATTGAGAGAAAAGGAATGGAAATCATTTCAAAATTTTGTTTCTTTTTTTTGTTTTCCTTCAGTACAAGAAATAGAAATTGCTATTCAGAAGAGAACCTGAAGGGCTTGCTGTCGAGTCTTTCGCCGGACCTAGACACTCAGGTGCAGGCAGCTCAAACCTGGAGTATCGGAAGGTGGAAGGGCGAACAACAAAGCCAGTGCTCATTGGGCGCATCCACTGTCAAATATCAGCGTTGATGCTACAGATGTATACAGAAAATACATGTTTAGTTGAACCAGCTTGGACGACCTCCGAGCCAATGACCCACACCACTTTGTCTATTAATAGAGAATCCCTGGTTTTCAAAACTGACGAGTGCTGAGATGCATTTAACTTGAAGGGCATTTGTTACACAGTTGTTACTTTATCACCAGTAATGGATTATCTGGGATCACCTACTAATAGATTTTTGAAAGGCATTTATGTCTTTTCTCATAACATAATAAATATTAGATTGTTGCATTTCAAAAATTCAGGTACTAAATTATCGTATTTTAAAATTCGGATACTAAATTGACACTCGGCCTAAATTACACGTACCTATCGCGAATTTTCACACACCAAAAACACTCACAAGTGCCAAACGCTAACATGTGTGAATCCCATGTTAAGCGTTTTACTGTTCAACCCTTCCTCCATTTCCGCGATCGAAAGAGAAACGAACACCAGTCACCAGGTAGACAGGTCATTGGCAACTTCTTGGTAGATATATATATTCCCGACGACCCTTTTCCCATTTCTTCTTCTCCGGTCTTCATACGTTGTTTCCTTCTTCCCTTAAATCGAGCGGTTTTTCCAAGTTCTCACCGGTTTGCTCTCTCTCTCTCTCTCGTCACTATACGTTTGATTTTAGAGATGGTAAAATATGCCTGATGGGATTTTGGTTTAGATGCTTATTTTATTTTTAATTAGTTACTTGCGGGTAAAAAACAAAATTCCTCAATTGTTGAAAACTCTAAGCATGAGGTAGTTCACATTGAAATGCATAAAGAAATTTAACATATAAATCGGAGAACCTTTCATTTTCCCTTTCATGTTCTCAATGATTTCGGTTTGAGATAGCATTCTCATAGAGATAGATTCAAATTGTTCCTCAACGTAGGTATACTCAGCATCTCCTTTTTGATTGCATAATTTCAATCTAAAAGCCTAAAAAGACAGTAGAAGATCTATTTGAGTTGAAGATGAAATATAAAGTTGAAGTGCTGCAATTCTTGTTTCAACGTCTTATAAAGAGATTGTGGTCGATGAGAGTTTCCTAGATATTACTACTGGTGGACTTCAAAGAACTTGGTGCATGCATTAGCCTTAGAAATCATACATGGAAATTACTCATCAGGTTATTTGAATTTACAATCTCAAATTGAAATATGCCATTCTTTTGTACCAACTTCAGTCATTTCCTTGACCAGATATTTTTTACCATAAGCAAACCGGGTTAGTTGCTTTAACAGTTTCCCTATATATCAGAAGCTATTGCTCTCTCCCAAGAAAAAAAAACAAGCAAGAAAATGTTTTAAATCTGAAAATGGACAGAATAAGAATATGATGGTTAAAATTTATTTGATTATAATAACTTTTAAATGGAATAGATTTGAAAAATGGAGACATGTGGAAATTTCTGTTGGAAAATCTGTTGTTTCTAATAAATTGTTAATGGTTTCTATACAGAGACATGTGGATAGAAAAGACACACTCCAAATTGCTTTTTTTTTTCTCCTTCTCTTCATATTGGTGGTTCTGTTTAATTTGGATTAAGTGTTGTTTGTCCAGTAGATTTGAACAAGATGTTAACTCTGGAGACAGAGCTCATCTTTCTAATGTAATTTCAAAAGATACAAGGCTCCAAGTGGCTATGATCAAGCCATATTCTTTAAACAATAGCTTAGGTAGAAACTGATAATTCTTAAGGGATCTTAACATGATTGACAATGTTTTTTCCTTATATTTCTTTATTTTCATATGTGTATTCCTTGTAGTTGTCTTTTTTACTTTTATAGCCATCTCCATCATATATACTATCACTTTGCTGAGTATTCATTTCCACAAGGAGTAGCTTGTGGGGAAATAGAAGAGGTTTTCTGAATAGCATAAGTCTTAAACATGTCAATCAATGTCTCATGTAAATGAGTCAATCTTCTTTTAGTTTTCTTGTTAACTTTATAAATTTTGGAAATCACAAGGAAATTTGTGGCTTTCTTCAGCAGAATAAAATTGTAAAGCAAACTAGTTTACATTCATGGGGACTGAAGAGCCTAAAGACTTGTTGAAAGGGGTGGATTGGAAAACGGTGGGTGGTGATGTGGGTAATGGTTCAAGTGGTGGACATGTCATCAAGAAGCGGCTCCCAAAAAAAATCAGACAAGTCCCAGACTACTATTTTCTCCCTCGAAGATCCATACCTTCTGCCATTGCCATCTATGGAGCAATCTGTGCAGCTGGAGTTGGTGCAGGGATGCTGGTTGAGAAATGGATAAACAAGAAAATCCAAGGTATGTTTTTTTCAAACCATTGGAATAGGGCACCAAAATGTTAATGTTCAGGGGGCAGTGCTGCTGATTGCAGTGCACAACTTGGAAAAAAGTGGGAAAAAACCAAGTAAAAATTAAAAAATGAATAAAAAGAATCTAGAATCCAAGAATTTTTGGATGGTTTCTTTGGTCTGTACTATCATGTGCTCTGCACATAACAGGAACTGGATGTCTGGGCCTACCATTTGATGGGTGGGACTTACATTTTGAGGGCATACCAAGGGGTCTCCTACATAATAGGTATTCAATTAGTTTTGATGCTTGCAGCCATCCAATCTCTTCAATGTTGATGCATTCTTTAGTTTCTGTGCTAGAATGGACTATTATAATAATCTGTCAGATTGATTTTTGTAGTTATCCATGTTGGTTGCCTCCATTATTGGTTTCACTCTGTCTTTCCATTTGTAAGACTTGGATCATGCAAGTCCATTCTATTTTCTATTAATGAACAGTTTGATGGTTGAACCTAGAAACCCTTGTTTTCTTTCTATTTTTTCCTTTGGGATGGGGGGAGGAATGCAGTCAAGAGTCACTTTATAAGATGAGTAAAGGTTTTTGGACCCAAACAACCTCATTCATGGTTTGAACCTCCTTTTAACTTAAATAGTTGGAATGGTGGTAGTAGTTTAGTTGTTTAAGGGTATCCAAAATGGACTAAGCCAGTTCCAAGGACCACCATTATACCTTGCCAGACTCTAGCTAGCATCTAATCCATAAAAAACAAGTTCTGAGGTTTACACACCACAAATCACATCTCCTTCAGGGTGCTTGAATTGCTAAGATGCTAGAGATCAACTGAAAAATGATACCAATTAAAAAATCAACCAAAAAACAATGGTCCAAGGACCGGCTAATATTCTTCTTGGTTATTGCAGAGGATGGAGGTATTATTTGGGAGCTGGATAAATAAAAACAGAACTGCATTACAAGAGCTCAGCATTTTTGTATCTTCTGGAAGGTAGTGAAGATACGGGTACATACTAATTTGCTGCTTTTGATATATCTCCAATTAGTATATTAGAGGCATCCATATCCAAAAATGTAGGGATTGTATGTTGAAGTTTGGTTTTTCTTTACTTTATTTTCTTGAGCATTGAAGTATCAATGGATTTATTCTTTTAGCTTAATTGGTTAGGGAGAAAGATATGATTACCTACCATAAGAATCGGAGAGTATATGAGTTTTGGATACTTGTCTTACTTGATTTAATGTGATGTTTGGCCTTCCTTTGCAACTGCAAATCTGCAACTGAATCTTGGGCCAAGTTTTACAGGTTTGATTTCTTGGACCCAATAGCTGGATTCCACTTATGTGATCTAATAAGAAGTGAACCAAAAAAAGGGCTATGTAATTCTTTTTTTTGAGTAGAAAAGAGATGGCTTTGGGTTATCTAAACAGTGACATGTACAATGCTGTGCATTCATACACCAGTAAATTTAAATTTCAAAGAATGCAATGCCAATGGGTAGAAAGGTCACTCAAGTGTATAGTATAAAGAGTCTTGATTCACTCAATTGTCAACATTGTACATGGAGTTTCCATCAAACAAATGATTGTAAAGAACCAGGGATAGAACCCTTAGAGAAAAATTATTATTTAGCAATGAAAGAATGATTTAGTGTGTTAATCTCACTAAATGAGCACAAGTTCTACAAAAGAAATCCATAAGCTCTCTTGATGCACTAGTCCTAATTTTGAGCGTCTTCTTTAACAAAATGATAGGTTACCTTTCAAATATGTTTTTTTTTTTTCTTGAAATGGTAAGGTTAAGATTTATTAAACATCGGAAAGCAAACAAACTGCTCACTGTACTAGGGAAAAGTACAACCGGTGACAGCTTTAAGAAAACTCAAAAAAAAATTTACAGCCACACAAGAAGCCAGAATATCCTCCTTGAAAAGCAAGTTGCAGCTCAGCCACCCTCTGAGATCATCAACAATTAAATTACCACCCTGTCAACCTGAAGTTGCTTCTGATCGAAAATCTTTCTGTTTCTTTCCCTCCAAATCGACCACAGCACTGCTAGAGGAATTGCTTTCGGCAGAATCTTTCACTTTATATTCATGCCCCCCACTTTCCAACCTTCTAAGAGGGCCTTTACTGAATTAGGCAAGCAGGTAGAGCAATGAATTGCCTTGAGAAAGTGAGCCCAAATTGTTGAAGAGAATTTACAATAAAGAAACAAATGGTTTGAAGTTTCTTCCCCCTCCCCACACAACATACAGGTTACATCTGGTAGTACTACTCCTTTTTTAACCAGCATAACTTTTGTCAAACACTTTTCTTCAGCAGCACCCACACAACAAACTTTACGTTAGAGGGGGCTACACTACCCCACACTAAAGGGCTGGGGAAAGAACTAAAGGAATCAGGCACCAGGCCGGAATAGAAGGATTTTACTGAGAAGAGAGAGAGAGAGAGAGAGAAAGACCTGAACCAAACTGACCCAGTTATATAGGGTATGGGTCTACATCACGTGTCCTAATTATAGTTGGATTGGGATTGGTTATGGTTATTCTGAATAACTTGAACCTATGAATTTCCCTTTTGCATCTACAGATGTTAGTTTCCCTCTTGCAGTCTAGTCTCTGATTCTCTCATACTTCTTGGGAAGTGTGCTTCCTTCTCATCCTCATATTTTCAACAATTGATAGACACCTAGTTGTTCACATGATCCTAGCGTAGAAGAGATAAGCCCATGATAGCACCCTTGTAACCCAAGGAGGAGGTAAACCCAAGATCACAGAAATGACTCCATCACTTAGGTTACACTAGGCAGCCACACCCACATCATTTGAGTCAGTTATCCATTGCAATTTCAACCCTGTGCAAGTGAGTGGTAGGGTATAAATATCTTGTAATCTCACCTTCTTCATCAACAACCAAGGAACACGAAGCTGAAGGATCTAGTAGTAGTAGTAGTAACCGTTGATGTGGATTCTCTCCAAACAAGTCTGCCAAGCTTAATTCCCAGATAGAGGAAATTGGAATGGGTTTGGCAGATGTGGCGTTGTAAGAAATTGGAATAGGTTTGAAGCATAGTTTTCAAGGCGCCAAGACGAGTCTAGGCAACGGGGAGCCTTGTCGCCTAGTCGCCTAGGCGATGGTTTTTTTTAAGTAAAATCACATATCCTAGGGTAGTTCCCTAGGTTCCATAACCAACTTTCTTTAATAACTATCCATAATTTTCATAAGAAAATTATAAACTTCATGTTTAAGTCTAGAAATCAACATATTTATGAGAAGAAAAAGAAAAAATATAGGGGCTGAACCCCTATTTCTGTTATAGGAAAAGAAGAAAAGAAAAGGTGGTTATTTTATAAACACAAAAAATGTTTGTGTTGATTAAACCCTAACAAATAAGAAAATAATAAAAAGAAATTAGTTTATAAACACAAAAAAAATGAATATTTTTCTTTAATAATGTCTATATTATAATTATAATCTCAAAAAAATAACAATATAAACGTATTTTATTACACAGTATGCAAAACTGCTTGGCGACTGGGTAGCGAGCCTCCAAGGGTGCCGTGTCGCCTAGGTGTCCCCTTGACAACTATGGTTTGAAGAGAAAAGAAGAGGAGGAAAAAGAATTAGTCTTCTAATTAGTGGCCATGTCATCGCGGGGAGCTTAAGATTGGCCCCGATGGAAGGCTTGCCGAGAGGATGAAGACTCTAAATGCAAGCTTGATAGGAAGGTTTGTTGGAATTGATTTGGAGAAGTGGTAGCCTGGGCTTCTTTCGAATGGGGTAAGAAAAGAGTTTGGGCTGTTAGAAAACTAAACGAGAGACTGTTTTTATTTATATTTTGTGGCAAGGAGGAGGTAGAGTGGGTTCTGGAATCTGAAACCAAAATGAGTAGGGATGTGATTTACAGTTAAGCTGGAGGTTTCTAGCGGCAGGATTGGTTCAAGAAGCTCTGGGTATCCCCTTGCATGCATGGAGTGTTGATTCCTTTAGGCTGTGTTTGGTTTGAAGGAAAAAGTATGGAAAGGTAAAGGTTTCCCTACCTTTTCCTTCAAACCAAACACAGCATTAGTGTAATTGGGGACGCCTGTGGTAAATTCTTGAGCACTGATGAAAGGAATAGCAGACGGGAGAAACTAGATGTTGCAAGAATTCTGGTCAAGGTTGACGAGGTCTCTAACATCCTGAACAGTTTAGCTTTGGCTTTTGCAAGTGAGAAGTATGACCTGAGGATCTTTATTTATTTATTTATTTATTTTTATTGGAAATGGTAACTTCATTAAATAACTTTCCAGACTTAAGTACAGCTGTCAACCCCTAAGTAGGTGTTGAGCCCCAGTTATCTTTCTTACAAAACTTCCCAGAACATACTCTCCCTCACAGTCCCTTGTTTAGCCAACGTGTCAGCTAAACCATTAGCTGAGGATCTTTATTGAGGAAGAGGATAATACAATTTTTATAGCATGTGCTGAAAGGAAGAAGGTAGGAAGGTTGAGAAGATTGAGACAACTTCAGAGCTTTAGGATGTTTGCTCCGTTGAAGAGAGGAAGCCAAAGGGTCGTTCAAGGGAAGAAGACAATGGGGGAGAAGATGCAAGGGATAAAATGGTAATTCCAGGTGGGACTGGGGCTTTATTTAAGAGACACATGGCTGGAGTTGGCAAAAGGAATTTGGAAAGTCGCAGCTTAGAGGATGGAAGTTTAAGTGCAGCTTTCATTGGGTCTCAGTCATCAATTGTGACCTTAGGTGCAAAGAGTGGGGACCACTTGTTGAAGCTCAAAGTTTAAGCATGTTTGCAGTAGGCTTAGGCACAAGAAGTAATTAGGTCACAAAAGATTAGGTGCCAATTTTAAGTAGTTGAAGAGGAGCAAGAAGAGAGATTTTCACAGGTTTCGTTCTGATGATGTGGAGGATTGGGTCTGGGTCATTGCTAAGTTTGACAGTTTTGGAAAAAAATAGTGAGCCAGAAGAATTGAGCAGATGAGGAGATGTGTCGCTGCCGTGCGTGTAGTGGAGTTAGTATCGATCCAAGGGAGAAAATTGTTGGGAGATCGGAGGAGCAAACAAAATCTAACCAGATACTTGTTGGGAGATCGGAGGAGTAAGTCTATTTGTTTTGGTTCTTTCTTGGTTGAGATACTTGTTGATTCACCTCAATTGGGGAAGTTGGTTTTGTCTGAATGGGAAGCTGCTAGTCTTCAAGGAGACGGGGGAAGGAAAGGAGGCTAGGTTAGAGGAAGGAGAGGAGGATGTAAGGGGGGAAGAAAGACTTTAGAAGGGGAGGAGAGAAGGGGTAGCCAAGAGGTTGTAAGCAACTTGTCAATTTGAGGAAGTGGTAAAAGAGAAGAGAGCGGTGGGTCAAAAGCTTGAGGAGAGTATTTAAGTTTTGAAGTCCCAGTTGGTAGGCTTGGAACTGATTTAGGTAGAAAAAGAGACTCTGAGAGCAAGGAAAGGGATTATGTTGCTTAAGGGACACCAAAGAAAGTAAGAGAGTCAAGCAAGTTCCATTTTGTTCATATCTCAAAAGTTTTAAGATCGAAAGATGGATTGGTTGGTGCTGGCCCTACCAACAAATTTAAGAAAGATTTCAAAAGGTAAAGGTTTGAAGACAAAGAATGCTGAAGTCCATGGAGCCAACTGTCAAGCATCAGAAGGGGTTGAGGTGCAACGAATGTAGGCTTTTGAGGTAGGTTTCGAGTTGAGGTCAGAACTTGAGGAAAAGAAGGAAAGGGATGGTTGAGTTAGTGAGTAAGAATTAATTGTGAATTCCTTAGTGTGAGTGAGAAGGGGGGAAGTGGATGTTGCAAGTTTGGTTGACAGGGATGTTAGGGTGGGCAAGAGCAATGTTTTAAAACACGGAGGCGTGACATGAGGCGTTCCACTACGTAGAGGTGTGAGGTGTAGTTCAGAATGTAAGAGGTATAAGCCTCCCGAACACAAGCCTTAAGAGGAGGGGGGTTAGGAAGAAGGAGGAGGAAGGGGGGATCTCATTTTTTCTTTATTTTTAATAAAAATCTTATATATTAAGAAGAATAAAGATGCATAACATTAGTTGGGGGGGGGGGGGGGGTCTGGGGGTGTAGCCCCCCAGCTGAAGGGGCAGGGGGAAAACCACTTTCTTTCCCCTTGGGAGAAGTGTAGGCTCTGATACCATTTGATAAGTGACTTAGGAGAACTCGCCTCTAAAAGCTAGCTGTTAGAGGGAGGGAACCCAAGCACATGTATATCTCACAACAGTATCCCATACTACCAATGTGGAATATCTCACATTAGCATCCCATACTACCAATGTGGGACAAAGGGATCGTAACAGTATCCTGATATCAACCTCGAGGACAAGGTTGTTCTTGATGGGGTGGGACTAATAGACACCTAGTTATTCACATTAGCCCAGCCCAGAAGACGCAAGCCCATGGTAGCACCCATGTAGCTCAAGGAGGTAAATCCAATATGATATGAATGACTCCATCACATAGGTTTGTTTACACCAAGCAGCCATGCCAATTGAGTTAGTTATCTATCGTAGTCTCAGCAATCAGATTGACATCAAGTGAGAAAACCCTATTCCTCTTCTATCTTCTTCTTCTTCTTCTTCTTCTTCTTCTTCTTCTTCTTCTTCTTCTTCTGTCTCAGAATGGCGAGCTCTCTTGAACGAGATCATTTCCATTACAGCTATTTTGAGTGTTTTGTCAATCTGTTTGGGAGGTACCAGAGAAGTCTTTGCAGTTTGTAATTAATTTTGGTTTGGGAGAGATTTTATTTTCTTTTGAGACTCATCCATTACTCATGTTTCTCTCCCACAAGCTTGAGGGGTGGTCTCATGGCACCTTTCTCGTTGGCCTATCATTGTAATTGTTGGTCATGTCTAATCTTTTTGTAAGAGATTTCAGTGTAGTTGAAGGAGAGTTTTCTGGTTTTGTTTTGGTTGGTGATGTATTTTTGAGTTTTCCTGCAACTGTTTCTTTATTACTTTTGGGTCATGTATTTCTTCTGGCAGTTGAAAGGAGTGGGATTAATGATGGTTTTTGTACCATTATTGTAGAGGTTTTGGAAATGCTGGAGGGAGTGTCTATGGCCATTCATTGGCACCGGAGTAGGAGGCGGAAGTATTTGTTTTGATGTTGAGCTATCTAGTGGCTTTGTTTTTGCTACTATGGTGCTGCAACATGTTCTAATGACTGACTATTCACAGCCTAATTGTTCAACTTGTGCAAATTTGTTTAGCAGTGTGAATATAGGCACAAGAATGCATGGCACAATAGGGCCAAAGCCGTTGTGGATTCTGGTCTTTTTGGAGATAATTTTTACGGCCAGACCCTGAAGGGAGGCATTTCGTGGTTTGATTCTTTGTCTTCCAGTAGTTGGAGGTGAACATAATGATCAAAATTTTGGGTTTTCCTTCAAATAATTGGGATATGGTTTGTGATGAAAGACAACATGTCGCCACCTATTTTAAAGGAGTATTTAATGGTCAAGGTGTTCGTCATTAGCCTTCCCTTTTCATCATGCTAGTTTTGAAATTTGAAATTTTGGTTGACTTGATGGGGTTGACCCTGGCAATCAGTATGCTCTTTTAACCCCACATTTCAGATTGGGTGGTTGGGTTGCTTCACGTGACAGGAGTCTCTTGTCTGTGTTATCTCTCTTGGAGACAGTTGATCCTCTTGGCGTTTTCATCAATTTGCACCGTTTGTAGAGACCTCACAAATTCTCTCCCAGTGTTCAGGTTTGCATCTTCCTCATCATTAGATTAGTCTCTAGTTTGTTGATAGGCTTATCTATTTGTTTTTCACATCAATTCCTTATAATATCCCAAGCTGTATTCTGAACATGTTAATGAAATTTGCCTTTTATGATTTAAAAAAAAAATAGATAGTAGAGGTATTTTTGTATGTGTATGATACCAGAAAGACATGACACTGGAAAAACTTATGCCCAATCAACCAACATCATGAAAGTGGTAACTAAGCAGATGGCATTTATGAAAATTCCAACGGCTTTTTTTTTACTAAGGTGGAAGTGGGGGTTTGAGCATCACTATCTCCATTTGTTTTGAACAAAAAATATTTGAATAGAAAAAAACTTGAAGGATCCATGCATTTGAAAATTGTGGGGACGGTTAGGCAATTGTTGTTGTCGAAGGCTCTGGTTAGACTAAAGGATCCGCTAACGAGGCAGTGATAGTGGAAGAGCAATATTGTTGAAGTTCTGGCAGGATCACAGTTGTAGAGCGACAATAGAGGACAGGGTAAGCCAATGATGCTGCTGCATTGAGTGATTGCAGGCTAGATGATGACAATGTAGACCCATGAGTCTCCGGTCTGTTCTGACGATGCAAGCTACATGATGACAATGTAAATCCATGAGTCTCCTGTCTGTTCTGAAACGGTGCTTGTGGGTTGTAACATTGATGAAACGACTTGAGCAAGGAAACGCTTCTCAAATGTGAAGAATCATACAGGCCATCAATGGTGCTCTGTTGTCTTCTGAAACGCCACTAATCATTCTAGATGATGCTACAACCGATTTGCTTTCCAAAAGATGGGACTCTCTAGAAACATGGGCAGTAGATTGTCGAAACAATGAAGTGTGAATAAAAGCTTTAAACTTGTATTGGGGGTTAAAAGTTGAGAGAGGGATAGTCATGATGGCAGCACCCGGTGATGAAGAGAATTATATTATAAAACAAGGCAAAATGAAATGAAAACAGGGATGACTCCAATAGTTCTGTTTATTGATTGCACTAGTGAACAGATCACCTGGATGGTGGTTTCAAACTCTAAACTCCATTTAGCCTTGGATTCAGAAGGAAGATCAACCGATCCAAAGGGAAGATTACAGCCATGATTGCTTCTTAAGAAGGTGGAGAGAGAGAGAGAGAGAGATAAGATAAGATAGATAGAGAGAGCTGGAGTGGGGTTAGAGAAAGCTCTAATATCACGTCTTTCTTGCAGCATAGATTTTTCCTAAAAAGTATAACAGCTAATTATTATCAGGTCTTAATGGGTCAGACTCGATAGGATAGGCTTTATTAATAATGGATATGCTTTTAGGTCTGCTATTCCCACTCCGGGCTGGATGTTCACATTTTCTTATTGGTAAGGGATCGGTCCACCCTGTTCTGCCCAGACCCAACCATTTGACAACTCTAGCCTCTTTGATCTTCTCCATGTGTCTCTCTGTCGGACATATGTAGATTCAGGTATGTTCATTGTTCACTCATCGAATTTACATCTGTGCCCCCACAAACTCCCCACAGCATATTCCAACCGTGTATTGGGAGCATCTTCCACTAACAAATTCGGGAGATGTTCCCAATGCATGCTGAGGTGTGTATGTGGGGTATTTGTGGGGTGCAGATGTGATCTCACTCATCAACAAAACCATGTGGAGTGCTTGAGTGGAGAGAGAGAGAGAGAAGCACCGAATATATGGTATTAACGTATGATTGTGTGACTTGACAGTCTGACCCAGTGACCCTTGAATTCTTCCTAGAATTGGACCTCACACCCACCTCACAACTGACAACGCTAGTAATTTCAGTGACCACTGGGGGTCTGCTATCCACAAGTTGTTCCCACATCCCTATCATAGACCACCACTACCATGTATTGGGAACATCTTTCCATGAATGATAAGGGAGATATTCCCAATGCACAGCTATAATATCTCATGGGTAGAGATGTGAGAACGGCTGGTAGGTAGCATATCCAAGCCCATCAGGGACATCTCTGTACTTGTATGTTTTTATTCAAGGGAAGATGTTCCACATGCACGACACAGCTGCAAGTACTGTGAGGAGATCCAAATTCACCCTTCTGATACCAAACTAGGGTTGGTTCGCTCTGGCCCATTGGGCCTAGGAACCAGAAACCCTGAGAGATTCGGATCATTAAGGTTGAGGATCGGGGATGAACCGGCTGGTTGAACTAGATAACAGATAAACCAAAAGTTATTTTAATTGTATTACTTAATAATAATAGATTAATAGTGGTAATATATTTATAACATTAAATCCGTAGGTATAAATTTCTGCAGACCAATCCAGTCCTGGTCCGGCGCTTTCCGGTTGATATATGATCCAATTACATGACTAACCAACTGAAGAGATACAGGCATGGAAGTAAAGTTGTTAGATGAAATAGTCAAATTGACAGAGATATGAGTTGGCTTGGGCCCTGGCTCTATTGAATGGTGTCGGCAATTGTTCCTACATGGCTTCCCTTTTTTACTGCAAACGTATCTTGTCTGGCCGGTCCCTCCCATTGAAGCTTTTTGGTGGCTTTTTTGAGGCAACGCCAGAGAAAATTGGTAGCTTTTTCCGCTTAAGTTACGCTTTCCCATTCCACGCGTGAACTTTGTCTCTCGATTCTCTCCTTGCAAATTTCGAAACCCAATGCAGCAATATGCTCCTTCCCAGCATCCTTCCCCCACAACATGCAGCTGAAAGAGAGATCTTACCATAATTTGTAGAAATTATTTAGCTCTTCCAATTAAATATTAACCCCCAATAGCCCAAATGCTCAATGCATTCAAATAGAAACAGAAACCCCCCCCCCCCCCCAAACACCAGACGACCGTCCCTATATATAAAGCCAGAGCTTTGTAGTTCCTCACTACAGAGTACAGAGTGTAAAAGAGCAGAGCAAGTTCCAGACTTTTGAATATACATTCCACTATTCTCGCCCTCTGTCTATCTTATCATCCGAGTGCTGAGGCTAAATCATGTCGGTGAGTTTTTTTCTTCTGGAATTGATCCTTTGTAGGTCGGTATTCATTAATGTGTTTGTTCTCATACAAGTGTCCTTGAATGTGCATCTTGCAGATGGTGGAAGTGAGGGTTCCAAACCTTGACTGCGAAGGTTGTGCTGCAAAAATAAAGAAGGCCATCTACAAGCTCAAAGGTACTTAATTAGTAGTAAGCAAGAATACTGATGAGCCCAAGGATGAGTAGAAATGGGTCGCACTTGCCTCAGTTTTTTTAATGAGTCCTATCGAAGCGATCAGTGTCTTAAACCCAGAACTTAGTTTCAGAACACGAAGCCAATATACAAGTACAGAAGCATTTTTTCCAGGCCGTTACCTCACACAGGACAGATTTTTGGGTTAGGCTCATAGTGTCCAATGGTGTTATAGGATTTCTATTGTTGAGACTTGAGAGGACCCATTTGGAAATGGGTGCCTACTAGCGCCATCGTTTGGTTACTGTATATGAAATGAAGAATATGGATCTGATACCCATAAGACATTAATACAGTCGCTTTGAGAACATCACTTGTACTTGTATGTTATGATTTATAGATGTTCTTGGTGTGTGGCTGTAATGTCTTGTGGGTAGCACTAACCGGAGTTTAAATCAGCCCCCCAGAAGATTGCCCCCCACAACGTCTCACAGCACATCCCCGCCGTGTATTGGGAACATCTCCCGATGATGACATCATCATTTCTGGTATTATCATAGGGAGATGTTCCCAATATACAGCGGGGATGTGCTGTAGGACGTTGTGAGGGGCAATCTTGTGGGGGCTGATTTGATCTCCACTAACCGGACTTACCCGATTAGCATTTAAGTTCAGCTCCCTGTAAACTCAACCGCCAAGACCGAGGACTATTCATCTGTGGATGAATACAAAGTTATAGGCCAACTGAGGGGTGGCTCAGTTGGTATGTTAGCTAATTCTCTAGTATAGACCAAGGTTCAAAATATCAATACGCCGGTAGAGGTGTATCGGACCATATCGGTACACCCCTTATAGGGGCGTATCAGGAAGCTCCCGAAATGATACATTTCGGCTGATACAGGCCGATACTTTGAACCTTGATATAGACGTGAATTTATTTCTCATAAGTCACAACTACCGACTTTGAACAGGATTATTAATATAATATGTATCACCAAATACCAAAAAAAAAACAATAAAGAGTTATAAACTTTTTAATTTAGGATCCAATCCAAGGAGAAGTGAGCCTGTATTGGGCTTTATCGTTTTATCTATTGACTATGTTAAAGTCATGGCCATCATAATGTTCCTGCACAAATACTTGAGTTGCGGTGCGGTCTCAGGGCCCATGGATTGAACGATAGTGGTTCGCCTCATCTCAGAGAGAGAAACTGGGGGATTTTAGGTTAAGTATTTAATTTGGATATTAATTAAGAATGGGTTTGCCTACAAATTCTTAGTATTATTGTGGTTAGCTTTTTAGGAGTTGAAGACATCGAAGTAGACATGGAGATACAGAAGATCACAGTGCGAGGGTACGCAGTGGAAGAGAAGAAGGTTCTAAAGGCTGTTAGACGAGTGGGAAAAGCAGCAGAGCCATGGCCATTTCCGGGTTACTCGCACTTTGCCTCATTTTACAAGTATCCCACCCACGTTGTTAACCACTACTACGAGACATCTAGCAACAGTGGAGCTGCGAGTGTCCATACTTTCTTCCACACTCCTGCAGCCTACTCAGTGGCCGTGGCCTCCGACGAAGCAGTTGCCTCCCTTTTTAGCGATGAAAACCCGCATGCCTGCACTATTATGTGACTGATTTTTTTTTTGGTCCCTTCTTTTTTGGATAAGGGGTGCAACATGAGGTCTTTCTAGGTCTTTCATCTTAGCATTACTCTCACACAAACGTGTATAATTTTGGAGTTTTCATGGAATCCGATGTATCGGTGCTGGTATGATCATATTCAAAATCATATATTTTTCAAAACATCTACAATTTTTTTTCTTTTTTTATGAATAAAAAGCAGAAAGATGTTCTTGTTAATGAGTTTTTCTTTTGTTGTTATATTACAAACTTCGAGACTGAGTTGAGTGGTAACAATACGCATTACACATAGTCACATACGTACTGAGATGCTATGCGTGTTCCCCAATTTCAGGCATTCTCCACGTACCATAAGCATAGCGTAGGAAGCTCGGTAGCTCCTATAAACCCAGCTTGATCAGCTAAATCTAGGCTCATACGGGCACGGGCTAGAACCAGAGCCCAGCAGGAGAGAGATGTATTAGATGGGACATGGGACAATGACACTATGACAGTATATAGTAATGTTGTGACTTTGTGAATCCTTCAAACTACAATCATAAGCTAAAGCAGGTTAAAGCTGGAAAGCATAGACCTTATAGTTTCAATTCTATCTGTAATGTGCAGTGTCCACTTCATCATCCTCATCAAGCCATGTCCCTACTATCTGGCGTCCATTACATGAATCCCATTCCATTGTTAAACTACGAATACTTCCATTCTAAATTGCAAGTATTAAAATCCATTTAACAAAATGCATCTTGCTTAAATAGATTTAGGTTCGTATGGTTTGCAGTTAAATTTAGAATCAAAATCAAAATCGAAATCTTCGAAATCGGAATTGGTATGACCTATTCACATAGTCCATTTGATTTAGACAGAAATGGAAATGGAAATTAGAATCAACAAGAATGGGATTTCATTCCAAAGGGAGGGGCAGGGAATGGTCATTCCCTTAAATGGGGGAATGCCATTCCAACAAGAATGGGAATGGGATTCCACCCAACCAAACAGTTGGAATCGGAATAACCCATTCTGATTTCGATTCTAGACCCCTATTCCTATGAGCCAAACAGGGCCCTAGTTGTTCCAGCAGAAATACTTAGAATAATTCTATTACATGGAGTAGCCTTTTTAGTGCTAGCTGAACGTAAAGTAATGGCTTTTGTGCAACGTCGAAAGGGTCCTGATGTAGTGGGATCGTTCGGATTGTTACAACCTCTAGCAGATGGTTCGAAATTGATTCTAACAGAACCTATTTTACCAATTAGTACTAATTTCTCCCTTTTCTGGATAAAAACAGGAAGAATTAAGCAATTGGCCGAAAAGAAAAACCTAAGACATCTATTATCTATATATTAAAGGAAGGTAGTCAGGTTGGAGTCTTCTCATTCATACACGTGGTGCTCTAATTTTTCAGAAAATAATATTTTAGAATTGGTTAGTTACATTTTAAAATAAAATTCAAATTTCAAATCACTCTTTCAAAATATTTAAATTAATAGATGCATGTTCAACTGAATAAGAAGCAATGCATGGTGGGACCCATTAAAACTACCACAAATACATGGTTCGAAATTTCTAATATAGAATATTTAAAAATTTGAAACAATTCAGATCATGGACCCATAATTAGTACGGGGTCATGCCTAATCTACTAACAAAAGCAAATTAAGTAGGTGTTTAACATTGGTACTGTAGAACCATTTTTAGCATTGGTCCATATTATTCAACGTTCAAGATGATGCCACATCATTGCATCACTGGCAGCAATGTGTTATTTTCTGAGAAAACATTGAATTTGACATTTTTTCATACCATACTTTCTCGATTTTCAAAGCGTGATGTCTGAAACAACGTTTTATTCTAGAAAAATGGTACCAAACAAGATGTCATTTTCCAAAGCACCGCTCTTTCTAATGTGGTACCTACGTGGCAGAAAATGGCATTGATGCCAAACACTGCCTAAATCCCATGCTTCTATAGAAAAACCATGCAAAAGTCTTTTGTGTCCCTTATTCGTCAACCATGCTTCTATCCTACATCCCGAGTCAGCAACAATTCTCTTGCATTCTTCAATCATCACTTGACATCTCTAGGTGGTGTGTCCAGTTTTTTAAAGGGCTTCAATTGTAATCCTTTAATCTCTTCTTTGGCCTCAGCCATCAATCATCTTATGCACTTCAAGATCAGCACTCATTTTGCTACCGTAATGGAAGAATTTCCAATTGATCAACAGACCAAGTGATTCCTAGCTATGCATCCATAGGCACAACTATTTCACTTTCATAGAATTAACGCATATAATTTTCTTTTCCTTATTTTTGCAAGGCCCATTCTCCTTTGGGCTTCAATGAACTTTCTACAGCTCTGGAGGGCACTCTTAGGTATTTAACTTAGTTCTGTATGTGTGATCAAGAGTGGGGTCATTAAAGATAGTCTGAATTGCATCTGTGTATCCAACCTTTACATTGTCAAGCCAGTTGCCTTTCTCATAGACCAAAACCAAGGGTTTCTCACTACTTATTCTTAGAATCTTTCCTATGTCTTCTAGAGTATGTTGTATTCTTACTCCTTTGACAACTGTCCTACATCCAAACATCTCTAGGGTAAAGTTTGAGTAAAATTGACTCATTAGTGTAAGGTAAATTTTCTCATGAAACTGAATTAGATTTTCCCATCCCAATTCCCAAGTAGGGTAAAGGAGTTTGAAGATCTACTCCATCACCTTTTTAAAATGAGAAAATCTATGATGTGGGAAAGATATGGTATTGAAAGGGTTTTTACCAATCAAAACCCACTCATAAATTTTGATAAATAACATTGGATGCCACGTTTATGATTCCAATTGATTGGTCAAACATTTTTCGGATATCATATCTTTTCGATATCATAGTCAAACCCTTTTGAAATGGAGAATTTTACCATGCATCCTTCTAGATTTTCTCTATGGGTAAAGTTTTATTAGTACCTTTCTTTTGCTTCCAACACTCCCCTTTGAGCTCTTGAAGGAGCATTCATCTTTCTGATTTCACTTGATAAGGCCATTGATGAGGTAGGATAGGGATAAACAATGAATACAAACTTTTCTTTTCTTATTTTGAAAAAGTGAAGCTGCGCTTTAACTAAGAGGACAATTATATTGTCAACTGATAGGTGCTAGTAGTCGACCATAGCAAACTTAGTTTAAGCAAGTAGTTGACTAATTATTTTATTTTAGGTAGTCGACTACTTGAAGCAAGTAGCTTTTGATAGTCAACTGCTAGGTCAAGTCATTGATTCCTCAGGTTTGCTTATATTTATTGATCATGAGATTAGAGGTTAAACCTTACAAGAAATAATCACATAGAAATAATGTCCATTTCATACTCATAACTTTATAACTTTTCTTATCCTTATCACTTATCTCTTCAATTTATATTCTATTGTATTGAAACTTATTGATAGTTTTCACAAGATAATTAACATGACAATGATTAAGATGCTTTTCAAAGATATTCAACAATTTTCTAAAAGAGCATGCTTTCTAAATAGAGGGATGCTAGTTTCAAACCTCTATTTGATTGATTACCCCCTTTTCTCTTTGAGAATTCACCCCTTCTTCCTAAGCACTTGTACAAATCAAAAGAAAGAGTTTAGCACCCAATAGACTTTGGGTCATTGGGGGTTAGTAGTTTTCCTTTTATGACTTACATCTTCACTTGAACCCTCTTTATACCAACAAAAATAGATTAAGTGACCAATTTCATGATAGTAAGCACATATGGATTCATTTGGTTCTGAGCTTTCAGCTCTTACAAATTTAGTTGTGGAGCATTGACTCTTTTGAGAAACAAAGTATTTGATTCATCTTATCATTGCTAGGTTTTTGACTCCCCAACATTTTATTGAGATTACCAATCCCATGTGTAAACCATCATGTGGTGTCTAAGAGGTCACCTTTCTCAACTTTCAAACTCAAACATTCATTAATTAGCTTTTGAATGGAATCATTTAACTTTTCACTCACCTTCATCTTCTTCAATTAGCACTAAACTTAAAGAGTTATGAATGATGTTTTGACCCCTCAGACTACTAGTTTGAATCATAAGATTTTTTATCATTCTCCTAAGTTTCTTATTTTCTTTAGAATGAATATTACTTGCATTAGTTGAGTTCAGACTTACCTCAAAGTTTCTAGACCTCTGAGGGAGACATTTGTGTTTGGTGCTAGCAACTTCTTTCTCTTTTCCTTTGATTTCATCTTGATTTTCCATGTTTTTTGAAGTGACTCCACTTTTTTTGCAAAATAATTTAACTCATCAATAACTTTTACTCGTGACTCAATTATAGTCATTTCTTCTTCATTCACTAGTAGGTTTCCCTTTAACTCATCATCTAGATTGGTTCTTTCATAGGAGATCTTATGAGTTTTCTTGATGTCTTGAGTTGTCTCTCATTCAGAGATCTTACTAAACTCACTCTTGTCTAATGCACAATGCAAACAGTTCATAACTCTTTCATTCAATGAGATTTTCTTTTTCTCATCCTTAGACCATTTTGAGAAATCCTTTTCTACAAAATCATAGTCTAGATTTTTGGTGGGTTTGTAGGGTTCACTTTCTACTCTTTCCATAAATCATAGTCTAGACAGATGACATAAACTCTCATCCTAGCTTTCCAATAGTTGTAGTCTACTCCATTAAAGAACAGAGGCCTACAAATAGATTGTCCTTCAGTGTAGTAGAAACTAGTTTGGAAGGCCATTCTAATCACCTAGTTGTTAAGTTGATTCATAGGTGAGCTTACTTTAATACCACTTGTTTCCCAGATAGCCTAACCCAAGAGGGGGTGAATTGGGTATAAAAACTATTTTCCCCAACTAAATCCTTTTAAGATGATGAATGTAAGAATAATGTAGTGGAAGGCTATGTGTTGTGCTATGCAAATGCAGTGGAAAGTAAAACAATCTAACTAATGCATACAAGTAAAAAATTGCAAGAATGTAAAGAACATAGAGATCTTTATAAAGGTTCGGCCAAACCCAATCTTACGTTTTCTCCTTAGACAACCTTCTGATAACTCCACTAAAGATGATTGAGCTTCCAAGTGCCAATAGAATCTATTAAAAGTGTATGCCCTTAGCTCCAATCAAATTGATATACACATACATTTTAGTATGATTAACATAAGTATATTATTGGTTTATGTTCAACTGACGTGTTTATATGAATTACTTCTTAAACTAGACATTTATGAGA